AACAAACAAAAAACAAAACACAAACAAACAAACGAACAAAGAAAAACGAAAACAAACAAAAAACAAAAAAGAGAGAGTGAAAACAGAAAGACTAAAATTATTACTGCATAGTTATACTCTTTCAATTTAATAAGATTAAGTTTGGACATTAAACCGTTTACCAATACACAGCCTCGAGAAAAATCTGTCTAAATTCCTTCCTTCTATAATTCAACAATATTATCTTTGCAGTTGTAGATAAAATTCAGTTGATCATTAAGATGAGATCATTTAAGAGATAAAGAATATCACATATTATAACTGCATGTACAATCAGTTTACTCACAAGAGTTTTGGCCTGACAAATAAACACAATTTTCCTACTTTTTTCCACTACTACTTGATTCCACTAGTCATACCGTCCATAGGTGATCTGTGCTCTCTTGAGAACACAGTCTTTGTGAGGTACAGTAGCGATGTTGGAACGTCTTCGCTTGAGTTCAGTAGAACACTTCCCTTGATTATCTAATGGAAATAGAAGTACAGTACCAATTATGTCTGTTAGCAGAACCACTTGGATAGGAAGAGTATAGTTAGTTACAAAAGTAATGACCATTCTCTAGAAGCTATCATGGCGGCGATATGACGTCACATAAGTAACAGTATAACACTATAACAGTTTATTTGCCATTGTATTTACATGTATTACAAATATTGAATGAGGGGATATTTATAAAGTCATACTAGCGAGGATGCCTGATGTAAAAGCCATGGGGCCTCAGTCCAACCTAGTTCTACTGTTCCAATAGTAAAGTGTTCCAATAAAAAATAGGCTAGAATCTAAGACCGAAATGTATTCTGGGACAATGTATCCCTAGTTAATTGGTTACCTTTTCTGGCATACACAGCTACTTCGCAGAGTGTCAAGAATCTCTCGCCGAATGTCTGAACAGACACGTAGCGACCAGGGATGGCTGGATCACATGTGGATGTCCACAGTTCACCCAGGTGAGCTGCTGCCACTCTTTCGCCACACATTGGATTCTTCTGGAATTCTTGTAGGATGCCAACACGGATTTCGAAGTTTTCTAATGCGTCTAGTTTTGGGCCCTCTGTTGTAATAAGAAGAAGGTCAGGCTGATAGGAAGGAAGGAAGGAAGGAAGGAAGGAAGGAAGGAAGGAAGGAAAGAAAAAGTGAACGAACGAACGAAGAAATAAAAGAAAAGAACGAACGAACCTGAAGTAATGATCGAAGAAATGAAAGATCGAAAAAAAAACCCGACAAACAAACGAACGAAGGAAGAAACGAAGACATGAAGGAAGATGAACAAAATGACAAAGGAAAGTTGGAAGGTAGGAAGGGAGCTGCATGCAGGCAGGCAATGAAGGAAATATGGATGGAAGAAAATAAGACAAGATATTTTGTTGTTATATTTTTGATTTGTTTGAAAACCCGACAGTCAAATATTAAAAATAAGTACAATAGGCCCAATACGTTCAAGGCTTACCGCTCGCAGTTTGAATGCTGACATCAGTAATAATGTGCTCATCAAGAAGGTCCACTTTCCACCAGGGGTCTTTTGTCTGGGACGTATGTGAGCAGGAGCCTTCTCGCAGGGTAAAGGACATGTCCCCATTCACAGCCAGCTCAGCCCCTGTCTTCGTTAATATAGTTTCTCGGTCATTTGGATCAAGCAGCTTTAGTTCTTCTTGGTCGAGGTCGTTTTTGTTGAAGCTGCTTGACTGTGTTGCAGGTTTATTGAGAGCCAAATCTAAAAAAACATGAAATTTCTTCTTTTAAGCCTTGTTCTCACTAGCGACATAAGCCGACGCAAGCATAAGCACAAGCGAAAGCCAACGAAAAAAAAAACCAGTCCATTTTCTTGCGCTTGCTTCGCTTTTTTCATAGTGAGGACATGGAGTTTCATCTCCTCGCGTCGCTAGTGAGAACCATGCTTTAGTGTTTGCTTGCTCCTCTCGCCTCACCTGACCTGACCTGACCTAACCTCACCCCACCTGACCTCACCCCACCCCACCTCACGTCCCGTTACGCCACTCCACCCCACCCACCTCACCTCACCTCGCCTTTCCTCTCCTCTCCTTTCCCTCTCTTCCCTTCCTCTTATATTGACGTATAGTCTAGTTTCGAATAGACCCGTTTCGAATTCCAAATTATCACTGTGTTTCTTGATTACAGACTCATTTATACAGGGTTAGCCTTGATTTTGTGCAGAATATTCACGTCTTCCAGTCAAGGTCCGTCTAGTTTCAAATTGATTGTATTGTCGAACTTCACCGTTGATATTTGTGAATATTTAGACACTGATACAAGGCTAAACCTGTGTAAATGAGTCTGTAATCAATGAACACAGCGGTAATTTGGAATTCGAAACTGGTCTAATGGCACCTCCTGAATAGTCCCTTTCACAGTTCCCTGCGCCATCTTGAAAAGTAGCCGCGCTCTTGCATCGAAGCGAGACGAACGGTGAGCTTGCAATGATAGAGACATGTGAATAATTGTTCAAGGTGTTAAAAAAGGTCTCTATTATTGCAAGCTCCCCGTTCTTCTCGCTTCGATGCGAAGGCACGGCTACCTTTCAAGATGGCGCAGGGAACCGTGAAAGGGATTACTCATAATCAAGAAGATTTGGGCGCAATCTATGACACTCTTCTACTGTATCACTTTCTGTTCCACCTTCTGACTTTCAGCATTACTTAGCTCTACTATATAGGGTCTCATTACCCACCCACTCCTCTTATGCACTAGTATGTACCAGCCTTCCCTGTTCTTTTTTTTACTTGAAAATAGTTGTCACAAACTTCAGTTTAGGAATGCCATCTACAATCCATCTGTCATCGGTAACCCACCCCACCCCTCTTTCTCAGATCTTACCTTGTACATAATTATCACAAACTTTCAGTCTAGGATCATCATTTACAACCCATCTCTCAGCTTCGGGAGTTTCAAAGTCTTCAGTCTCGTCTGCTGGTGCAGGTTTACAGGGACCAGCAGTGATGACCGATGCTGCGAGATACATTAGAATAAATAGGACAAATGAATGTGAAGAAACGTGTATAGGCCCATTTAACTCGGGCGTAATTTTGCCCATTTCAGACGACGTGTCATTCCCTTGAGAATAAGATTCTTTGTTTGAGTTGTATCCATATTCATGTGTCTTCTCAAGCTAAAGAAATAGATGATACTCTAGGAAATTTTGGATAGCATGGGTGGAGTTCGCGGCTAACGCGTCGTCTTTCACCGCTGTTCAACGAGTCCAACGGGTCGGGTCGCTGGTTCGAGCCTTGCGGTCGTCACATGTGAATTGAGTTTGTTTGATGTGTTGTTCTTTCCTATGCTACGAGGGTTTTCTCCGGGTTCTCCGGTTTCCTCCCTCCGTAAAAATCAACACGTGAGTTGGAGCGTTGTGTGCATAGAATATTGAATGAAGTGGTAGTGCGTGTGAGCAAAGTGTCCCCAATTAGTGCGAAAGCGCTAGAACGACTAGACACTTAAATAAATATTTTTATTTTTTTCATTTTTATGACACGGTCTGAGATAGGAAAACATTACGCCCAAGATAAAAGGGTCGAAGATCCCTAATTCTAAAGTATGCCTGAAACAGAGAATTACCTTTTTCAATCAAGCAGTCCGTTTTACTATTACCCAAGAAGATCCTATTATGTTCACACGTGAAGCGTTGGTTCTCGTCATTGATCTTACAGTCTTGTTGAACGATTTTGAGGTCTTTGCCTGTACCAGTGAATGACAAGCATAGGCCACTGTGTATGTTCTGATTGGGGAAAGGTAGAAAGATGGTAGTTTATGTTAGCGATATTTGTTTGAAAGAAGAGTAGAGGAAAAGTATTTAGGAAGAGGCGGGATTCCTGTGGTGTTCGGTTTTCTAAGAATGAAAGGGATAAATAAAAAAAAATTAAGAAATGAATAAAACAGGAATGTGAAATGAAAGGGTAACAAAACCATCAAGAACAAGATTCTGATATAGTATAAATTCAATATTCTTCAAATGCACGTTACGACATGGCCGCCATATTGGAGGTATTTTCATTCCTCATTAGCTTCCTTCGTCCACCAACAAGGGCGCCATGTTTCTTACTCTTGATTATATTGGGAATGGTTGCAAACTTAATCAACAATAGTTACCATTAAAGCGCCCGTCAGAGTATAGACCCACTGAGTATCTGCACTAGAGCAGGCGCTGGTACTGAAACCTGCTCCCTTGTTGTCGGGACCTGGACTTTTGATGCACATGTTGTTACCGACATTCTTGATTCTGAATGGAGCTAAAGACGAAAGATGAATGAGTGAGGGTTAAATGTTGGATACATGATGTATCAAAGGTTGGGTCAAATGTTGGGTCAAAGGTTGGGTTAAGTGTTGGGTTCATGTTGGGTCAAAGGTTGGGTCAAATATTGGGTACATGTTGGGTCAAATGTTGGGTACATGTTGGGTCAAATGTTGGATACATGTTGGGTCAAAGGTTGGATCAATTGTCGGGTCAATTGTCGGGCCGTTTGTCAGGGCATTAAGACCACAACGACTTCCAAGACCGATAAAAATCTTCTGAACTTGGTTTTTGCGCACACCACAACGACATCTAGTTTATTTCTCTTACCTCCAACCATAACATCGCCAACAGTATTCGGCTTGTCATATTTAGGTTGAGTGTATCTCTTGGACAGCATGTTCTTAAATTCAGAGATAGCTTTATTGACAATTTCTTTGGCCATCTCTACTAGATTAGCCAGGCTGATGTCAAGACCGATCTTTCGCCGAACCTTCATAATTGTGATATCAATTAATGCTGCAACCCTTGCGCCCAAGTTTGAAGAGAGTTCAAGCTCGAAGACAATGCCATGAACAGCGAGCATATCTTTGACTACAACATCATGGATGCGCTTTGCCCAGTGAAAACTGTCTTCTACCAGGAAAAGAGACTTGTGAGCCAGATCGAGTCCTTTGCAGACTCCTTTAGTGATGTGCTTGTTGAGAGTACAGGAAGCTGAATCAAAACATAAATAAAAAATGCTTTGCAAACCATCTAAAATAAGTATCGATCATCCGAGAAATGAACTTTTTACTGCAAATGATGGCTGCTTCAAGAATTGAATCTACGATGTCAGCAGAGAGGGGTGGCGCATTAGCAGTGCAATGCAACCATATTTGCCACTACATCTAAAGATGACCCGTTAACTAGTAAATAACTACAGAACTATAAAAACTTATGGTTCAAGCTCACCTTGACAGAACTTCTTTGATCCCTTACAGATGGCTGGGGCTAACGTCTTACAAAGATAATTCCCAACGAATCTCTTGCGCCTCAAACGTGTCATCATCTGGGCTCGACCCGGAAAGAACTCGACGCTTCTGCGCTCTCGTGGATTCTTGAATGTTGATGCTATTTTCTTGGCAGCACCAACGAACCAGCCACCTTGAACATGAGCAAAGAAAAAGATRCAGGAAGAATTATCGTGTGAAATTAAAGCAATAGAGCTTTTTAGCTAAGGGGTAATGTTTTCCCACTTTAGAGCAAGGTGGTTCATTCAAGAATACGATTCTTAGTGAGTCTTCCATATCAACACCCTTACTCAAACACTGCTTGTATGTAAGGAAATGGTTTTTAGGGAATGCCACGTGTCATTCTCTTGAGACTACGATTCTTCGAGTTTTTCATATCAATGTCTTTACTCATTACTAGCATTGCTTAAAATCAAGAGCAAGGCAAAAAAAGAAAGGATGGACGGATGGATGGATATAAAAATACACAGGATGGCACAAAAATGCAATCATGCAACTCGGAGCTTCTCCCATAGTTTTGTCATTAGGATTTACTTTGCTTACCGAATTTATTTGCTGCTTCACCAATGTAGTTTTTAAACTGATCCAATGCTGCCTCACAATTGTTTGAAATCTGCGGAGAAAAAATACATAGTTTGACAAGAATGTTTTTTTCTTCATCCCGGAGACCGTAATATGATGTCATGTTATGTTAATAAAAAACACTAAAGTGACGCACTGGTGAAGGTCACTTTTAAATTAAAACAAACAGACTTAATTCGTTGCGTGGTGTAATGTCTTCCCATTTCGGGCGACGGGTCAATCCTTGAGAATAAGGTCCCGTCCACACGTATCCGGAAATTTTTGTATCCGCAAATTATTTTTTGCGGATACGGGTTGCGTCCACACGTGTGCGTAAATTTTTGTATCCATATCCGCAAATTTTACGAAAACGGATACGTGTGGACGGTGAAAACGATTCGAATACGCTGCGTGTGGACAAACATTTTCGTATCCGCAAAAAATAATTTGCGGATACAAAATTTTCCGGATACGTGTGGACGGGGCCTAAGATTCTTTGTTTGAGTTGTATCCACATTCATGTGTCTACTCGTGCGCAAACCGTAACAAAGAAATGATACTCTTGGGAACTATGACGCGTGGTCTGTAATGGGCCGGGAAAACATTGCATTACCACGAATAAGGTCTACTGGGCAATAAATGAATGCCTTTTCGTCAAACTCGGACATCAAAATGCTTAAAATAAAAATATGAACAGTGAATTGTAATGATATTCTTACTGAATCGCAGACGTTCTCTTGGCATTTCTCGCAGTAATTCGTTACACGCTTTTCACAGCTTTCTCTCTGCTCCTTGATTTTATCTCTCGCCGTTTGTATCTTTCCACGAGCAAGATTTACAGTCTTCTCCACATCCCCAGAAGCATCTTTCTGAACCTAAACCAACACCATAACATCATTCTCTTATTTAGGGAACCAAGAATGGCGTAGCGTCGCGAGGAGATTCTTCACTCGCCTCTCACTTTGGGATCTCGGGTTTAATTTCTTGACTCGGTATTCACATGTGAGTAGAGCCTGTTAGGTCTCTCCCTTAATTCAAGGGTTTATCTACGGGTTTTCTGGTTTTCCTCCCTCCGCAAAACCTACCAAGCTAAATTCCAAATCAATCTGTGAGTTAATCGTGACCTGATCTTGATCAACCTAGACTCTGTTTCAGGGTATAGATAAAATCTGAAGCCTGATTGAAACTGGGTTAACTTTTCCACAGGTAGCCCAAGAATAAAAACACGAATATGGTTCTAATAGAAATATCCTAATATTATACCTGCAAAAGCCCACTTGTTATATTCACTTTAGCAGTGAAGCCAGTTTCTTTCAAAGATGTGCCATACGACCCTTTCACGTATAGCTCTGCTCCTAGTTTACCAAACGGCAAAGCTAACTTGAGAGTGGCTTCAATCAACGATGGCTTGAAAAGGAACTTGACCTCTGTTCCGACACCAAATATCGTTGCAGCTCCTTGGAGGAAAACCTAAGCAATTGAGAAGTTAACTAAAAGTTAATTTTGTGGTACTAATAATCCGAATACATGTAGCAAAATCTGATTCGTATTGCTGGTTTTCAATCATTCCCAAGAGAATGTAATTACAAAAGACACAGCGGCTATGTTGGAGGATATAGCAAAAGGGACTAATGACGAATCTTTTGTTAAATTCATCCAACATGGCGGCCGTGAAAACCATCAAAAGGCAACAAAGTTCCCTTCTAGCAGGATCGTCAACGAGGGAGACTCTGCTAGCAGGGAAGCAGCAAGGCTATTTTGAAGTAAGTGTCTGTCATATTTGCTTTAGGTACAGAATTTTACATTCCTCCTCTCCATGTCCCGCATGAGAGAGTTTTTCTGCAGCGCCAAGAAAATTCCGGATGTGACGCAGGCTATGCCAAGTCCGATCTCTTAAAATGTCCGCAGCAAATAGCGATGGTCATACCGATTCACCCACTCAGTATGACTAAAACCTCCCAGCCCAATTCAAATCTCTAGACATAGTGCGAATTATCAGTAGGAGTGAGTTATACGACTAGAAATAAAAACATACAGGGCCCATCAGCCTTAATTCGTGATCCTATATAGACGATCCTATACTATTGATGCATGGTAACAATTACCATGATTCTCTGAGAGCGATTACCTAGACCTTTAGAACCTTAAAGATACAAGATTGAAGAAGAAGATGAGGAGGAGGGCAGGTTTTCTAAATTTTCTTTTTACTGCTGCCCGTACCCCCTCCCCCCCCCCCCCCCCCCCCCCCCCCCCCCCAAACACGTTTTGTAAGGAGGAGTATTCGTTGTAGAAACACAGATTTAAGTATACCTCAGCGGCCAATGGATCTGTCGTAGCTTTGGCGTAGAATAAAGGCCCCTTCTTCTTGTCAGTTAAAGATCGAACAAGCATAATTTTGCCCGGTAGCTCGAAAGGCGATAGTTCAACTTGGAAAAAGATGATCTACGATAAAAGGGAGAAGACAATAAATACATAATGCTAACATATACGTTGCTTCTCGCTAACTTTTATACAATCATAGATGATACCCTTGATCAGGGGCGAAGCGAGGACCAAGGAATAATTAGGGAAGGGGGTGGGTGAGGCACCCGGAATAAAAAAGTATACTGAAAAAACCCTCTTTATTCATTCAATTTTTTCCCAAAAATTTACCATCCTCCCTACGCTAGTGCACTTGATCACAAATAATTAACGCCACCACTTGAGTTGTTTTTGTATGAGCGGGAAACATAAATGTACAGTATTGGTCGACTTACAATGTGTACACGGTGTCCGTCTTGCAATTCATTCAAACACAACCCGTTGTTACGGTTACGGTAAGATACGGTACGGCAACAGTACGATTTCGATTTTCTTTTCGCATCGTTTCCCGCTCATACAAAAACCGCTCTACTCCGATATCAGTGATTCAACTATAAGAGAACACAGTCAGCCACTTTCCATTACAACAGCTTGGCGGATTAAAAAGCCCAGTGGGTCCTCATAATTTGGTTATTGAGTTCACTTACTTTAGGGCTGATTTGTATTTCTGTGACTACACTGAACCCAAGCAGGTYTAATGCTCCTTTTACGTATAATCCAGTCTTGAGTTTCTTTTCCACGCCTTGGAACTGTATGGTTTGCTCCTTTCCTGCGAAAGAAAACTGCAAGAGCAAAAAAAAAAAAAACAAAAACAAAAACAAAAACAAAAAGAAATGAATAGAAGTGTACAAGAATATCAGGATGAGTGTTTTGATATGCAGTCCTCCTTTGTCGAAGAAGTCGCTGAGTACTCGGTGCTATATTTCTCAAACCAAGTAAACCAAGCGTCCAAGTCCACGGGTGTTTGAGTGAACGTCGGGGATGCACGAGACGACCGCAAGATACAAAAAATATGCCCTGAGACGTCCTTTCTTTAACCATCAATACTCCCCCGGCAGATAATCAACGGTCCCTTACCACTACTTCCTTCTCAAATCCACTACTTGCTATCTTCTCTGGTAGCTCAAGCTTTGATCCAAACATTCGAAAGACTTTACCAACCGTTACAGCAGATATATCGCCATATACGTACTGTGTGCTCAGTGCTGTGCCTAAACTAAAATCAACTCTTCCTCGTATACACATTCCCTGGAATAAAAGATGAACCATGAAAAAAATAAGTATTTGGTCCATTGTATTCATATTCATGTAGTCTATACGTAACCCGCGTTAAAAAATAAAAGGATATCCTAGGGAATGACACGTGGTCTAAAATGGGGGAAACAGTGTGCCTAATCTGAATAGACCCCTTGCGTGTGACGTCAAAGCAGCTGAATTTGGAGGACAAAACAAAATAATTTCAATCTCCTGACACTAGCTTATTGTTCTGTCCACCAAATCGAGCTGCATTCCAATGTAGTGCAAGGGGACTATTGCAATATGGTGTGTGTTGGCTATTCACAGGGCGTGGCCGGGTTAAGCGATTAGAGGCATATTTTTTCTTCAAACACACGAAGCAGTGATCTTATTCTGTACTTCAGGGCGTTTCTGGTAGGTAGCGGGGAAGATTGGGGGAAGGAGAGAAGACGTGAACAAACGAGTTGCTTTGATTGGCCAATGTCCAACCATAACACAAAGACATAATACTTTGAAAATATGACACCTTGCCTGGAATTGGAGAAGTTAACCCTAATATAGAGGGTTATATTGTATTGGCCGCTGAAACGATATATACATTTCTATTGAGTAAATCCATCTTAATCTATAAAATCTTCTTCGCTTACATTTTTCTCAAAGTCTTGAGGATAATAGCAGTTTTTCCCTAATTGTACTGTGCCAGAAAATCCCAACTGCGTTGGTATTCCAGCTGCATTGATTTTAAAGCTGAAAAAGAGGAACACAATATATATATTATAGGCTCAAACGTCTCAAGCCAGTTTTACACAGTCCTGTAAGTCTGACTTGGCCATAGCTTGGCCGCTTCGCTTGCTGCACAAGCACGCCTGTGACATTTCAACATCAGCCTTACCTCAGTCTAATATCACCGATTGCCAAAAACGAAATTCCAAACACCTTTCTCCAAATACCCTTCATTTCTAGCGTGGTACCAAACACCAGAGGAGTAGATATTTCCAGTGATCCACCCAAAGTAAGTTCTGATTTTGGTTGAAGTATGTTATCCTTGTACACCTCTCCCTCGACTGGGAATTTTATGGCCATTCTGAAGCCTACTGTAGCTGTTGGCGGCAAGAATTTGGCCTGGGTAAAAGAAAAGCATTTTTCATATACTGGTGGAAAACGTGTTAAAAAACAAAGAAAAAGTAAGAGTAAATAGGTAGGTAGATAGGTAGGCAGATAGATAGGTAGGTAGGTGGGTAGGTAGGTATTTAGGTAGGTAGGTAGGTGGGTATTTAGGTAGGTAGGTAGGTAGGTATTTAGGTAGGTAGGTAGGTAGGTAGGTATTTAGGTAGGTAGGTAGGTAGGTGGGTAGGCGGGTAGGTGGGTAGATGGGCAGGTAGGTGGGTATGCAGGTGGGTAGGTGAGTAGGCGGGTAGGTGGGTAGGTAGGAGGGTAGATGGGTAGGGGGTGGGTAGATGGGTAGCTAGGTAGGTAGTAAGGTGGGTAGGTGGGTAGACTGGTAGGTAGGAGGGTAGATGGGTAGGTAGGTGGGTAGGTGGGTAGGTAGGCAGGTAGGTTGGTAGGTAGGTGGGTTGGTGGGTAGATGGGTAGGTAGGTGGGTAGGTGGTTAGATGGGTAGCTGGGTAGGTAGTAAGGTGGGTAGACTGGTAGGTAGGAGGTTGATGGGTAGGTAGGTGGGTAGATAGGTGGGTAGGTGAGTAGATGGATAGGTGGGTAGATGGGTTGGTAGGTGGGTAGACGGGTAGGTGGGTAGGTGGGTAGGAAGGTAGGTACAGGTAGGTACAGATAGGCAGATAGGCAGCTTACTGAATAAAATACCTGTACTTCTGTTTCACTTACCTTCACATAAAGTTCTAGCTTTGAAAATTTTATCGTCTCAGTGATCTTCCTGTCAAGAACAGCAGCTGTAAAATCCAGCCCTTTCTTGTTGGCATTTCCCGTGAACATAAGCCAGGAATCCTTGCCGAGTATAGCATGGGCCAGCTCACAAACTTGACTTTGACATGTTTGGGGTAGTTTAGTACGTATCGCTATGAATACACCCTCTTTCATGGACGCCCCAGCTGCAGATTTCAAAGGTTCTTTTTCGAACTTGGTAGCTGGTTCAACTTTAAAACCTTTCTGGGCAAAAGCAATACCGACCTGAAAAGAAATGAAAATCCGCATTCATAGGATTAGACACAGAGAAAAATATCACTATATTGGAACAATACCAGCTGGGATTTCGAATCATGGCATTTAGGTTTGTAGAAGGGGTACTCAGTATTACAATGTCGACGTGCAACAATGAACAACGAGGAGACATTGAAAGACCTTAGTAAATTTATGTCTGAAACAATGTAATATTGGTCAGTCGACATAAGGTAACTGGGCGACTTACAATGAGACAATGCGTCCAAGGTTTGGCCTACCCTGCCACCTTCCCCCCCCCCCCCCCCCCCCCCCAAAAGAAAAAAATCTTGACTCTTTCTAAGTTACTTCATTCCAAGCTTACCGTTGTATCTGTCATCGATCCAAAGAGCTCAAAACTTCCAGGCTTCTTTTTCAGCTTTTTAAGTATCATTTCCATAAAGTTATGGAACGTTGCTTTGTCTGAGCTCAATCCAATAGCAAAGTCCTTCTGTTTTATGATCTCTAAGTAAAAGAGCTCTTGAGTATCACCCGAAACGACTGCACCAGAGATTCGTTTGGTTGTAGCAGTAGCTGCTTCTGAGAGGCCATTCACTTGTACCTTAGCGAGACCAAGATTGACAAGATAATCCAGAAAGAGATTTTTCAAGGTGTCTTGCGCAGTAACTGTTGGACTCCCTACTAGGGATGTAGCTTGAGGAAGTGATAGTGTATTGACAATCGTTTCTATGAAAAAAAAGGTAGGGAAATCATTAGCTTATTTGACTAATCACTTTTAAAGCATTACTAAGTAGCACGGTTGTTTTTGGTTGACTAATGAAGTATTTAGATGATCCCCTGATTGTGAGTCCACAATCTTACCTAGGTCTGTTTGGCCTTTGCTTTTGCCCTTCATTTCCGGTCCTTGCTTGACTTCGACGTCAAAGACATTATTAACAAAGTCGTGTTTTGCATACGCTACGATTCCTCTTTCTCCAGATTTGGTTTTGAAGAAAAAACGAGATTTTTTAAGCTTAACTCCTTTGATAGGTGAGTAGGATCCGGACTCTCCAAGGCTGAATTCCCCTTTATAAACAAATAATAATAATAATAAATTTAATAATATCCTTACAAACGTTTGCATACTCTGGGTTATAATGGCCCCTCTAACCCTATCTAGGAGCTTCACAATAGTATACTTCTTTGGAACTGGAGCGTATATATAGAGTATACCCCCAGACATACAAATGTCTGTAAATTTTTCAATTTTTCATCCGAACACTTATGAACATATATGTAATTAGAAACGCAGCATTGTACAATTGTTACACACTACTGAAACAAGCGTTTATAGTGGCTTTGCACCATCACGTGACGGCAGCCATATTAGATGGGGGGAACAATACAATCGTTTTAAGCCCCTTTTACATTGGCGATTTTTGCGGCGATTTTTGCTGCGATTTTTGTGGCAATTTTCGGAAATATAAAATCTTTTGTCTCATCCTTCAAAAGAGACATTCGTCTAGGAAAATCTTGGTATCCTGAAAAAAACTTTACAAGTAAATTCTTTACCATTATTTATTATGGATAGAATCGCCAAAAAATCGCAGCAAAACTCGCCGCAAAACTCGCTAGTGTAAACGGGGCTTTACATGAGAAAGAATTCAATTCCCGAAAGCAAAGGGATTTTATTGTTTTGCCATCTAACCATAGGCAGTCCAACCTGTATGATGGGTGCCGGCACGTGATGGTGCAAAACCTCTTTACCTCTAATAAAGAAAGGTAATCTGGCAAACTTCTAAGAAGGGAGTGGGGTTACTGACCTGCGACTATCTAATGACAACAACAAAATTCCACCTAGTAAAAACTTATTGGATAATAATAGACATAAATACCTCCAAACAACGAACCATCCGCCTTTAGTGATATAGACAGACCAGCGGAATTGTCAGTACCAGGAGGTTTTTTGAATTCAGGTAAAGATGGCACTTGCGTATAACCAGGAAACACCTTCTCAAGCTTCGCTATTGACAATGGTCTTGAGGGTTGAAAGCAAAATTTTGTAATCGTTTCCTTCTTGTTATTTTCCTCTGTCTTACTGAAGTAACTTGTCTTGAYTTCATCTGTGATTGCTTTAAACTGGTTGCCATAGATCGAGTCGGGAAGTTCGCTGGCCTTCGTACCTCCAGCGAAGTAAGCTGTCTCTGCTTTACAGGATTCCGCGATGAATGATGAAGGTTTGACTTGAATAGAGTCTCCATTGGCCGCTGTAAAAGACAAAATAGAAATGGCCATTAAAAGAAATAGTAAGGATAGGGAAATAGGAAATAAAAAGGGGGAAATTGGATGAATATGGAAAGTTGATACCGGTTCCAAATGCTAGTTTTGACACTGACACGAGAATACGAGATTCCCTTGGCTCAATAACAAATTAAAGAATTCATTGAAAAAAATTGTGACTTCCCTGGACAAAAAAATGTCTAAAACATGACAACGGTCTTAAATAATGCCGAGGTTGATACAAATAAAAAAAATATGAAATTCCAGCCACTATTTGGAGTCAATAACATCTAGAAATTCATAGTGCAACCTCTTTTGTGACTTCTCTGATACATGAAACGTATTTTCAAACTCTTACGTTTACAGTTGTCTTTGGGACATATTTCATCTTCAGTGTCCAAGCCAATGCACGGATCACCCCCCTCGGCAGGGGCTGGATTGTCACATTTACGAGTGCGTTTCTTTTCACCAAGATCACAGAACTCTTTCTCACTGCACTCTGACCATGCGCCCCAATCGCCCCAGTTACCATTCACTGCATCTAAAAAAGAGAATCATAAGTTCGATACATACTCTACAAGGAAGACAAGACATACTAGGAATAGAACATTATAGTCTCGAGTTCCAGGAAAACCAGCGGGAAAGAATCCCAGACGAGTGCGGCGAGAGTTGCCAAGTGATGGACTCCACATACTTTCCCAGATAAAGGAAGATCTCAGTAAACGAACATACTTTCCCAGATAAAGGAAGATCCCAGTAAACAAAGTGAGAAAATTATTGTAAAAGAAAACTTTAGTAGTTGTCAACAAACTTACTTGGACAAGCTACAAGTTTGCATTCCTGGACTTCTTGGGAGTCCTTTTCTGAACAATCTTTCCCGCCATAAGCAGCAGGTGGATTGGTACAGTTTCGTTGACGCATCTGTTGTCCTGGACCACATGTTGTGCTACATTCAGTCCACGGTCCCCATTCGGTCCATGCTCCATCGACTACAAAATATGTGTTGTAAGCACAGAGGAAAATACAGTAAAAAAAGTTAAGGTAATACCTTTTTGGACTACTTTTGAACTCATCAGCATCGTTTTGTCTCAGTGTCAAGGAATGAATCAAGTTTTGTTATGAAATATCATGACATACTTGGGCAGTGTACAGTACAGTCTGTTGCAGTCTCGGTGTCATCTCCTTCACAAGGTAAACCATTCCTCAGTGGAGCAGGATTGCTACACGTTCTCTTACGAGTCACAACACTTCCGCCACAGGATTTTGAACATGCGCTCCAAGCTCCCCATTCGGCCCAGTTACCATTGACAGGCCAATCTGGGGAAAAAAACAGCATTACAAATATATTAATAGTCAAATGGCAAATATAAATTACTTCTGCGCGCAATGGCTAGATTTTGGAAACAAACTTGTCAATACGTATGAAATGCACCTTAGTCCATAATCTAATTATACCTTCACATTCTTGAGTACAGTCCATTTTTGTCTCTTCTTTAGGTCCCACGCAGTCCTGCCCATTATTTTTGGGAGCAGGATTGTCACAAGCCCTTGTTCGTGTTACTTTAGATCCACCACAGATTTGATCACACTCTGACCAGCTGCTCCAAGCGCCCCAGTCACCATTAACTGTAACACACCAGAATAAAAATAACTATGCTAATTGCTTTAAAAGAAATTTAAACTAAAGGTTTGAAGTTACTGGGTTTCAGGAAGTAACTAGATTCCTTGAAATTGCGTCAAGTGAAAAGCAATAAACTCCTCGTAAAGGCATCCAAAAACAATTCCCCTTCCTAAAAGTGGTGTTACAAATGGCGGTTTCTCGTGCAGCTTTTATTGCGAAACAAAGCGTACCTGGTAGTACATTGTTACATGCAGAAATTTTGCTCTTCGATAATGCCTGCATAGGCATGCGTTACACACATAAAAAATCCGTGCAATCTGCAACATTCTTTCATCGCGACTAAACGGGCTGCATCAGAAATTGTGGCGTTGTATATTTATGAATATACTCACCCGAGCACTCTTCCGTTTGTTTATCAAAATTAGCAAACGTCTTGTCGGGTAGAATGCAAATTTTCCCTCCTTCAGAAGGTACAGGATTTGTGCAGGCTCTTGTTCGAACCTTCATGTCTCCACCACACATTCCTGTACCGCATCCACTCCACTCCGACCAATCAGACCAGCCTCCGTCAACTGGTTGCCATGGTAATAGTTTTAAAATACAAAAAGACATTAAATGACAGCCAATAATAAATAAATGATTTACGTATTTCATTTCGATATGCAGATCCAGTGGCGAGCAGGAAGTAATGCGATTTTCCTCTGGAATTACTGTGTTACTAAGCGTGCCTCAATCTTCTCATCGTTTTTTAAAGATAATCCCAACTGAAACTATCAAACCTTTAAAATTTTGTTTATACTGAAACAATCTCACGCGCAATCAATCTATGTCAGGGCACGATTAACTACTAACAGTTATAATTAAAATTCAGAATGTCAGCTTTTGCGGAGGGAGAAAAACGGGAGAGCCCTGAATAAAACCCTTGAATCGAGGGAGACCTAACAACATGTGTTGCCGAGTACAGGAGACGAACCCGAGACCCCAGAGGTGAGAAGTGAAAACGCTACTCCTACGCCACCCTTGATTCCAAAATTGGTAAAAGCATGTTCCTTGTCAATGGACCCTTCTCAAAATTACAGTGGATACGAGGCTAACATGGAAATACAAAAGAAACCTCACTTTTTCTCGATGGAATTTGTGGCATTTCTTTAGCATTTCCATGTTAGCCTCGCAGTCAAGACAATTCTAAGAAGGGTCTATTAGATAATTACGCAATACCTCGTGGTTTGGCGTCCAAATAGCGCTGTAGCTGACCTTCCTTGAATTTGCAACTACATTTAAAGTGGTATACTTGGGTGATTCTGGGCACTGTTTCGGTGGAAATCTCTATCTGAAATACGCACAATAAAAAATAAAAATAAAAAAGATTGTTTTACCATTCTTTTGACCTGTAAGCCAGGCTAAAAATACAAATTGAAACTGATGATAATCCCTGACCACCGTAATATCTGCCTCTTTTCAAAAGTTTTCATTATAAATAGCCAGCTCCATTCAAGAGAGAAACAAAACGACCGGATTCGTACATCGCCTTTCTCCACTGTGGTCTGGGTTTGAGCCCCTGCACGGACTGGATCATATACATGGGAGTCGAGTTTGTTTGATGTGGTGTTCTCTCCCTTGCCACGTGGGGTTCTCCGTGTTTCCTCCCTCCTTAAATATATAGAATGTAGTGGTAGTGCGCGTGGAGCGAACCTCACGGTAGAGCCCCGTGTGGGGAATGGTAATCGTAAAGTTTTAGGAACATTTCAAAGAGGTTATGAGGAAGGAATGAGGGGGAGGGGGATACGTCTTTGTACTACCGTCCTAAACCCGGAGCATTGTTTTGACCCTTAGCTTACTCACTTTGTCAAGGATCCATGATTTTGAAATAATACCCTTGTTGCTTTTCCTGACGCTTATTCTCTGGATTCTGCCAACTGGAGGACCATAGATAGTCACTGATTTTGTGCTGCAAGGAAAATAGAGAATTTTTAGAGTGTTCTTACTAAGAAAAATAAATGAAAACATTACATATATATATATATCATTTAAAATAGAAACTATATATAATTATCCGCAATTTCAATATTCAAATAATAATAACAATAATGATAATAATAATATTAACAATAATTACATTGTTGAGACCTTTTATAATTACACGACCTAAGAAAGAACTAAAAAAGCAATACCGCTACACTATAACAAAGCCTAGGTTCGTTCCGCTTGTTACCGTGGATTGAAATGACAGAGGGGAAGAAAAAAAGATGCCATCATCATCATCATCATCATCATCATCATCGTAGTAATAATGATAATATTTTAATCGGATGTATACAACGCAAATAAAAACGACAACAGAAATAGTGTCTACTTTTGTATATTGCTAATATTTTGCACGGCTTCTAAGGTTATGAGTTAGAAAAATGAATTTATAAGAAGGCATTCAAAACTTCCTTACCAACCAGCGGAAAAACGACTTCCAAGTTTGACTTCCCCAAACTGACCAGTTTCCCCAGTGATCTGTAAATAGACGCCTGAAGTTGTGCCAGAACCAAGCTTCTCCCCAGAACACACGGTCACCAAATACGGTGTCCCTATATCAGATAACGATTCAAGTAATAAGTTTTAAAAAAATAGTACAAATCTCAATATGTTTGTACTTATCTTCTGAGGATAATTATTATCTATAAAACAAGTGGCATTGACATACCTGCATCTTCCGGCTTACAGTGTTTATATGCTGCGTCAATCTCCGCATCTTGGTAGGGCTTCTCTACGAATCTCATGTTCAGTATTCCACCCAAAAATGGAAAAGTTACTTTATACGATTCATCTGTCAAGCCTCCGATTACAATGTCATCGCCCCAGGGAAGCTTCGCGCCCTTTTTGACGTTCTTTAACTTCAGTGTCTTCTCACCGTTGACAAAGAGGTACGCTCTTCCCTGGGTGGCATCGTACTTGGCGATCACGTGTGTCCAAATTCCTATTATTAGAAGCAGTTATATAGATTAGTCAGAACCGGGGACGCAGAAATGGTGTGGTTGTGGTGAACATTCTGACGACATTTCTAGTGAAAAAGCCTAAAAGTGGTTGGCAAGTTATGATGTAAATACTAAGGTAAAAAGAGTCTTATCCTCAAGGGTATGACACGTGGTCAGAACGGGTACAGAAGGAGTGTTGGGGTGACCATTCTGACAACTCTTCTAGATCTCCTGTAAGAGCCTATTGATGGTTTGCAAGCAAGGTATATGTAAATACTAAGGTAAAAAGAGTCTTTTCCTCAAGAGTGTGATACGTAGTCAAAAATATAAAAAAAAGAGTGCACGCAATATATCCGCGAAATAAAACGAAAGATGTCTTGTCTAAAATGACGTTTGCATGATAACGACATTTGACTCCCAATACCAAAATGCTTCGCGAATTTTCTTTATTTAAATTTGTATTCCCTCATGCCGGAGTATAGTAAGACAATGGGTGCTAATTAATTGAACAAAAGAAAGTGTGCAAGGGAGTCTGGTAGTAGAGGACAATGACGCCATCATGCAAACGTCCTGTTGCAGCTTTCTTGCTGCTATTTTGTACAAAATAGTGATAATATTGGAGCAGAACACTGGGAACAAAAGCAAATACCTCTACGTGTCTTTGTTCGGCTCATGCCTGAGTGAAGTCTTGGCTAATAATTTACAACTAAACAGTTGAACATTTAAATACTTTTAAGCAGTACATGGCTAGAAATTGTTTCACGAATATATAGCGCGCACTCTAACGAATTGGGTAAATCATTTGATTTAAAAAAATAAACAGTGTTTCTTCAAATGCATAAAGTGTATGCTATAAAGTTTTCCCATATATTTACCAGAAGGAATGATATTCTCGGTCTCTATGCTGAAGAGTGTACTTGTTTTGTCTGTATTGACTGTCCACTTCAGACGGCCATTCGGCATGCTTCCCTCAGCGGGTCTCAATTCTAATATCTGTCTACCACCACCAGAAACAGCGGTAGAAAAGATAGTAGCTACTTGATTCACAGTCCGTAGTCGAATCCAAACCAAAAACGTCATGTCTTTTGCAGGAATCTTCGTTAGGGACTTGCTACTGAGTTTAACATGACCACCTTCGAACATTAGTCCCAATCCTGTACAGTCTCCATTGTATTTTGTTGGTGTAACTTTGCCTTCGATCTTGATCATGTTCTGTTGGACCAATGTGTCGCTTAACATGCCGTCGTTCTCTTTCACATCTGTCGAAAATAAATTGGATACGAACTGTGATAGTAACACTTAACACAAAGCGGAACGCCTTAAATACGAACACCGAGAGGACAAGAGAGAGTATCCGAAATTTTAAAACTTCGTGTCGTTTTAAAATGGGTTTCGTATGAGTGGGAAACAATACGGAAAACTCCAACCGTTCCTACGGATCAGTTAACAGGTATTTACGAGTTGTGATTGGATAAAGCGCATGTAAACAATGGGAAGTCATTTCAATGTCACGGTTCCCACCCACATAAAAACTGCTATAAGCCAGGTTCGACTGTAAGTGAGAATCGACACAAACTAAAGGAGCCATAGGAAAACCTTTCTAACTGAGAATGAAATAATCTCGTTATTTACGCACTAAAGGGTCACATGACCTGGCGTTTACTGCATAGAAAGAACTTGTCTTTAATTATTACGGAAAACTATTCATACCTTGCAGCTGATTATTTTGGCTAGTCTTTTCAAACCCATTCCTCTCTTGGGTGACTCTATTGTGAATCACATTGTTGGTTTTCAATGCTGGAGATGTTCCGTTTCGACCACTTATAACTTGGTCGTTTTTTGAAGGAACATTGGAACTGCTATATTTTAGGACGGTTACATGATGGCTAGCGCTTTGAAAACGGATTGGACCGGCACCAATCGCTGGCTGGTGACGTCCCTGGATGTGACGTAATTTGTTGTTCTCTAATTGGTTATTTCCTAGGCTGACATGTAATTTACCAACACCATATTCCAGCAGGTATTTCCCCTGGCTATCAGATGAGCTACCGGGATTTCTAAATCCCGCACTGTTTAAATTCTGATGGCTTTGTTTCGGATATTGGTTTCTGTTTTCCATTCCATAGCCTTGTTGTACATTGTTAAAGTGATATGGTAGGTTGATGCTACTTGGGTGTTGGTTGGCATAGCTACCGTCCAGGGTTTGAACATCATTGGTCACAAACTCGTAACTCTCGGTATGAGGGTACACATCACCTGATGATTGTGAAGTCAGGGGTATCTGTATGCTTGCTGCATTGTCGATGATGCCATATGATACAGGAACATATTGCTTCTTTAGTTTCTTAAGGTGATGTTTGTGATGGGTCTTGGTATCGGCTGTTTAATGAGAAATAACTGAATTTAATGTGTCGAAGAAGTGCATAGAAAGAAAGGAAAAAGGAATAGAAAAGAATGAGAGAGAAGAGAGAAAGAAAGATTGAAAGGAAGGAAGGAAGGAAGGAAGGAAG